AAGACAATGAAAGATAACATTGTGTAATTCTATTTGTAGAAATTATGCCAGCTTGTCTTCTGCATTATTTTCTTTCTCAAACAAATTTTGAGATGGCTTTTCCTAGACAAGATAATTGGCTGAAATCAATTCACTATAGCTGTAAACAGGCACATTTGGATAATGTTATTAAGGCTGCATTTAAAAGGAAGGAAAAAAAAAAAAAACGGAGCAAAGGTTGATTGCTCCACATCATTATCTGCAATTCAGTTCTATTCCTAGTAAATTATTAACTATATTAAGCTAACTTTGTTTAAGTCTGACTAGTCAAAACAAAAGCATTACTATGAAAGCATACAAGCTCTACAAAGGCCAAAATTATAGCAAACTCTCTGCATTGTCTAGAGCAAGGAAGGAAGTCAGCAGGTAATAACACCGCAGTAATAACACAGCCTCTGCTGCTTCCCCCGACTCCACAAGCTCCCTTACTTTATAGTACCTCGGGTTTCCAAACGTCCCCAGTCCTACCACGGCCAACCGCTAAGATCTGAAATGCGTGTGCCGCTTTCTGTCCTGCTTCTCTACTACAGGGCTGGAGAAATCGACGTAATGTTTACAGCACCAGAAATCCATGCTCTACATCCCTCTGTCCATCCCAAATCCTGGAATCTCAGGGGTTTCCTGGTATTTTGGCCTTAACGCGCCACAGCCTTAGCAGAACTGCAGAAGGACAAGACACATATACAAACAACCCCAGCCTCCTTCCTGCCTGGACGTTTATAAACTGCAAAATATGTTTGCTTGAGAATTGTTATCAACATCCATTTGAGCCACCTTCTCATCTTGTGTGAGCCCATTATTTGTTCCTAGTTTCCGATATCCTTTGATCACATCTTAAAGCTGAAGCTTCTTACATGCAGGCATTACACAAACAGGCAGATGCTAATTCAAACTACAAGTTTATTTTGGTGTATTTTTCCAGCAGCTCATAACTGTGATTCATTTTATTCCAAATCTGTGCAAGCAATATATGTTATATTTGTACTCCATTAATTATGAGATTCAATGATTCTGAAGAGTGTTATATCGGCGGGAAGAGCCACAGTGTTCAGAAAAGTCAAGAACTTGTACCAGGGCAGCACCTTCTGCTTTTATCGTGCCGTTAACTGGCAGCAATGTGGGACCAGAGCCTATGCAAGGTCTACCAAGAACTACAATACAGGAGATGCAGAGCAGAGGCAGGGACACAAAGATGGCTTCAATATTCCTCTATGCCACCCACGCTTCCCAGTCCAGATTACTAAGTCTTTCCCTTCACCCCCAAGGCATTGCCACCCAGGAGACCAGCAGCTTCATCCCCCTGTACCTCTTGGCCTGAATGTCTCACAGCTGAACATGGGGAATGCTTCCCTCAAATCAGGGACTTATAAATAAGTCCTGTATCCTGCTGGACCTGCAGGGCACGGGGCCTTACCTATGGCTTGAGCATGACACTCATGTTTTTAAGCCGCATGTTATTATAGCATGGAAGGGTAGCAGAGGAACCTGTGAGCAGCCCCTGATTTTGCGGTCGTTCCTTTTAGAGCATGGTGCTGATTATAAGCTTAGCCTTACAGCTCCCCCACCTAACACCCCCTTAAAATTTGTAGTAAATAACATTGTCCAAGTTAGCGCCGCGTACGCTGTTTTCCTCATGTCTCCCTAGCAAAGCCCTCTCCGCCACAGCCTCAGCTAGAATGCCTTTTGTTTACAATTTCACCAGCTGAAAGACTCTTTTGAGAACAAAAAAAAAAAAAGAGGGGAAAGAAAGAAAGCTGAAGAGGCCACTATGAGGATCTAATCTATGGCTAAGACCACCCCTTGACTGGCAGTCTGCATTGCCATCAGCTGTATGCATCATGAACGCATTCTGGTTTAGATCAGCTGTCTGTGCCTTCTCCCTCATTAACATTGATAAAAGCGATGGCCTCTGCCGGGCGCGCGGCATTCCTCAGCATACCAGCTGCAGCTCTATCTTAATGCATCCTATGGGCTTGGAGAATTAATTAGTTCTGATAGTCACCATGTTTCAAAATGATGGCTGTCATAACCCCGCAGATAAAATTACACACCCCTAGAATTTTCCACATTGCCCATTCAGACTCTCCGTAGGCCACCGTTGGCTTCCTCGGATGTATGGCACTGGAAAGATTTAACTTGCCAAACCTTTTTTTTAAATCTCTTTGTTACGTTCCAATTAAGCCTGTGTTAATCAAAGGCAGTATTTCCCAAATATTCCACCCCCCCTTTCCCCAAGCCTCCTCCTAGGCAACTTGATGGTTTATGCCCCCCTTCCTCCCACCTACAATTAGCATTCAGACGTTTCTCTTGGCAGAGCCGAAGCCTCCCTCTCCCTAGGAAGCTTTCTTCTTCTGAGCACATTTTATCTTTTCCTACCCCTCTGCAAGGTGCTTTAGCCAGTTTCCAAACAAAGAGCAAAGTGACTTTCCTCAGACATGTGGAGCCTCAAACCGTATTCAAACACCCCTGGGACAGTTTTCCTGCTGTGACTGGCTCTAAAACAGAAGCCACATACAGTAAAAAAACAGTAATTCATTTATTTTCTGCTGCTTATTTTCAAATTACTAAGTAAGAATATTAAATTTAGCTCAAGACTGCCCTCACCCTTGACACTCTTGAACACCTCGCGAATAAGGTTGCTCCCCTGGGAGAGGAGCTGAGCTGCAAGTAGTGTGGGACCTACCAGAAAAGCAATACCAGCTTTTATTACACAGAGCTCATGAATGTTCAGGCTGCAGTGAGTGCTCTGCTTCAAAATGATCATATTTCTTTTTTTATTTCCTCCTCTAAAATGATGCCTTTGTCATATGATTGTTTGTGAAAAGGCTGAGCTTTGTATGAGCCTCTGAGAGCTCATCGTATGCTGTTCAGCCATCTCTGGTTGAGAGCGCTTCACTTTCAGAAGGTTCAGGGGAACGATACACAATGCAAGTCACGTAGTCAATCAATTTAAAAAATTTTTAAATGCAAGAAATTCTGTGGTTATCAAAACTGTGCAGAAGAAGGTGAGTGCTGCAACCATCACGTCTGTCTCTCCACTGTTTTTTATTCACTTTTAAACAGACCTCATGCACCAGATGCCTGGCTCAGAGAAAGAACAGCCAGCTCATTGTAACGCTGAAATAAGTTGCAGCACAAAACATTGTTTTCAAAAACACCTACATAAATGAACCATCACATTTTCTCTGGTTGGTTGACATTTTCAGCGCAGAAATAGAAGGAGCAACTTGGAGAGAAGCAGTAGGTGGACGAAGAAAGTAAAAAGGCAACCAGCTCACATCTACTTAAAGTAGGAGCATCCAGTCCAGGAATGCAACAGCAGAGCGGAGGAAGGCTGCGACACACACGAGTGTATGCCACGGCACGCGGCATTTGCAGTATTACAGCACACGCAATGACTATTACTAATCTTTTTCACCAGGCTGCTTGCAACGTGAAAATTTTCGGAGGTACAGGGATGACTAGCAGCTGAGACAGAAAGCATCCGAGTGGCCGGGATATTCCCAGGAAGGCTTGGCTGGGCTCCTCCACGTCAAACTGACCCCAGCTTTCAGGTGTACCCGTGCCCACAGTCACCGTCACTCCCACATTCCTTGCTCTCACTTCCCTCACCAGTATCAACATTATTTTCAAAAAATCCAAGGGGACCAACTCCCCACACACATTTGTACTTTGATATTTGCTGTCTAAGGCTTCCAAAATTTTCACCTTCTTGTAGGAACCAAACAGATCCAAGACCTCTCCACCACTCCAGCTGGACACAGAAAGAGGCACGGCACAAAACTAAAATAAAATACCCTGCTAAAGCCAGGAAAAAGTGAGAGTGGGAAACGCGAGAGCACGAAGGTCTCAGCTGAGCTGTATAAGCAGCAAGGTAACGAGAAAGTGATAGCTTTGCCACCACAACCCTGGAGGAGGACGACCCCAGACGTACACCGCCAGGAGAGGACACAAACACGTCAAAAGGGCAGGAGCTGGAGGACAGCGGAGACAAAAATTGGCACAGACGCGGCGATGCGTGGGGCAGCCCGTTGACAGGTGAAATCCCCACCGGGGATCCCAGCGGCATGCGGACCCCTCCGCGCTCCGTGGCCCCCGCGGGCACCGGCAGGGGAAGGGGAGGAAGGACGCAGGTCCCAGACACCACCGTCGTGGTTCTAAAAGCAAAGGGCAAAACCTGGCCGACGGGGCTTTCTGCCCACGCCAACAGCACACCAGCACGGACAACAGCCCCGGAGCCACCGGCTGCCCAGTACCTCAGGCACTGGCCAGACCAGTATCCCAGCTCCCCGCCTGGCTAGCGGCTCCGCTGCCACGCTGCACCGGCTGCTTGAAGTGCCGGGGTCCCCCCTTCCCACCCCCCGAGACCCCGTGGAGCCCCGTCCTGTCTCCAGGTGACCTATTAGCCTCTATTTCTGCCCAGAGCAGGGCAGGAGCTGGGCAGAGTTATAGTTAGAGCCTGGCTCGGTCTGTATTCAACCCCCGCAAATGAGGAAAATCCCCATCGCCAACACGAGGAAAGGGTGGCCGGTCCCTCCGGAGCAGGGAAAGCGATCGTCGCGGCAGTCAGCAGCGACACGAAGGGAGAGGAAGGAAAGGGAAAAAGGGTTTACTTCACACAAATGCCTATACGGGAGGTAAGAGCAGATAACGAGAGAGCTGATGCATGTTACTTTTTATCTCGATCTACAGGACAGGAAAGGGATGTGCTTGATTTACGGCTCCTTTCATCGCTGCGCTGCCTGAAGTGGCAACAGGCAAGAAACCCGGCTGACCTCAAGCCGCCGCAGAAGCTGTCAGCTCCTGCCATCGCACACGCAGGGACCAGGCAAACGTGTTTTGCCCAGGTAGCGCAGACCCTGCCCAGCCAGCCACCCTGCCCGCGCTCCAGCAAGGCACACCTGCAGGAGAGGAAGGATAGGTTTTACTCCCAAATATCCCACGGAGGATGGGATGCGGCCATGGGCTATCATCACACAGGAGAGAAGATCCTCCAGGATTCTGCTCTTTCGGAGAAAAACCTGAGCCATTCCTTCTGCCCAGCCAGATCGTACATTGTATGCAAAACCAAAGTAACATGAAAGGCCTTGACCTCCAGAAAGAGAAGCGGCACTTCTCAGGGCCGTATGTACCATCAGCATGTACACCGCAACCCCTGGCTGCTATCTTGTCTGCATAAACAAGAAATTATTTACTTTCCTCATTGTACAGCAGAAAGGAACAGGATCTGACGAGCACACAGGAAACGTCTTGCCCAGCCATCTCCTACCAGCAATTTTGCAATATTCAGTTAGAGCACATAACAAAAGTAGATGAATTTGTGTATTATACATGTATCACCACTGGGTTCTTTAGGAAGACAATACAGAGTTCAAGATAATAGGTTACAACTGCATCGAGTGTTATATTTGTGGTCTAAAGGTGAATGTGGCATCTAGCCATGACTACAAATAGGAATTTGGGAGAAAGCACTATGTTTACAGCCACTGTGGACTCTTCAAAAACTTAACCTAGCTTCAAAGCACAACTTTGTATTAAGGCACCCTTATGGGGTGCCTTCAGATGACAATGTCAGGGGCCCAAAGCAAAGCTGGCAAACTGGAGGCAGCCAATTTATTAGATATTTAAGACATGGGAGAGGCTGCCCTTGCCAAACTGACCAGAGCAGCAGCAAAGAGCAGCACTAGAAAAGAGCTGAACAACTCTAAGAGAGAGAAACAGTCTTGCTTTTGGCAAATCAAAATGTCTGTCTACTCATCCCTCCTAATCATATGCCAGAAACATAGCTGAGTTAATTATTGTCTGCTTAGCTCCAGGAAATCAGTCAAAATGATTTAACAAAAAAAGCAAAAAGAGAAGAAAAAAAAAAATCCCCCCTTTTTATCTGGCTAACCAAAGCTGGAAGATGTTCTTTTGGCCTCCTGAGATAAAGTCGGTGGTACTTCTCCCAGAACTACATTTAGGGAAACCACCCTTACGTTATTAGGGCCGATAAGCCAGCTTCCAGAGATCCTTTGCTCTGCCTTAGATCAGTTGGACAAACGTAACGACAACAAGCACAGCAGTTACTCCAGTCCCCTCTCCATGCCCACCTAAAAGAAGAAAACATCTTCTGTCATAACAGTTCAGTGTCCTTGGTTTTGTGCTGTCAACAGCTTCAGAGAGAGGGATAAACGATCAGAGCCCTGTCAGGATATCCTGTCATTCAGTTAGGAAGGGTTTATTCAGCTTCGCAGTGAAAACTTTCGGCAAATACCCTGCGTTTTGGAATTTTTCCTGCCTGCAGGCAAGCTCCGCATGCTGCATCCTTCAGTCATTTTCCTTCAGAAAGCCAAGAGCCCTGTTACACTATTTGTCTAAGAATGTAGAAGAAATAGCACCTCTAACAAACAATCACTTTACGTCAAAATTTTAGTCCTCATGTCTGGAGGGCTCTGAAGGAAAAAATCAAATTCTTCACAATGGAAAAAAATTCAGTTGTTTTATTCTTTTTGGCTTTTTTGGCTGCAGTGAAACCGTATTTGACATCACAAGTCCCAGATGAGGTAAGAAGCAGCTTTTTATTTAAGTAATGAATTATCATATGTCTGTATTACACTATGAGGTGGGGGTTGCTTCACTGTTATAGGGAGAATAGTTATCAGATACTGTATCTTATAGAAGAAAAACCTACTTTAACAGTCACTGATGCATATGACACTGAATTATGAACTAAGAGCTCTGTAATTCAGTCCTCTGAAATATCAGAAATGCATCTGTTTATTCCACATGAGAATTTGACTCAAAGGGCATGTCATGAGTACACTGAAAAAGTCTCTTAAAAATGGCAAACATGGCAAAAGACTGTAGCTGACACATTCATCAAAAGCAACAAGAGAAAACCATTAGAATTTCTGTTAAGTCAGAAGATGAACACAGAAATTTTTCAATAGTGAAAATTATCCATTCTACTAACCACAAGGAAGAAATGCTATTTCAGATAGGCGGGGAAAAAATTCTAAGGAATTGAGCTTTTGGAAGTAATAGTACAAAGTTATAAATTTAAGTAAAAGACTTGTAGGCTTTTGGGGAAGTGGTGCATTTGCCACGGACAAATCCTACAATCTGTGGAATTTCACAAAATCTGTTTTCACCACCCTTGTAGAGAGGCAGAAAGTGTTGGGTTACAAATCTGAACCAGGAGTTCAACAGCAAGACATTCACTCATCTAAACTGTCTCACAACATGTGGCTTTAGATTCCTGCCTTCTGGAGAAAAATCACTTGTAGAAGACGAAACAAAAGGACAGGGAGAAATTGGGGGCGGGGGGGAAGCCACTCCCTGATTGTTTGGTTGGGTTTTTAAGTGGAAAAATACTTTGAAAAGTACAAACAAGTACTAGGAAATGTGTTAAACTTATTCCACCTCTAAAAAAAGAGCCACTAACAAATCACCTGTCTTCCATTTTCCCTAACAGCAAAAAGGGAAAATGAGGACATGGGAGAGAATGGAAATAACCCCACCATTCCAAAATAGTGTTTTATAGCTGGTGGTAGGGAAAGGGTATAACTTATTTTAATGTAGCTTTTACCTTTTCAAAATCTCTTTGAGTTTTCATGTTCAAAAAAGGAAATTTTGTGGAGTGCCTTTTCAATGACAACTCCTGCAATGAGATAATTTCAGCCACTCCTACCAATAGCTTTTGCACCTCTGAACCTGAATATCCTACAAGCCCAGCAATTTATCCAGCCTCAGACTCTTAACAGCTTACACCGGGCATCCGTGAGGAGCAGGGCTTCAGTGGCATACTTGGTTAAAGACTCAGAAAAGTCAGCCAACACTCTGAGTTTATGATTCTTCAACATTTAACAGTACTGATTTGACTCAGTGGAGATGCCCAGAGGAGTTAAGGTGCCCAGCCTGCGTGTTTGTGCTGTGTTGGTACTTGCTCTGGTGCGTGAGTCATCTCTCATTAAGGACGGGCTGTTAAGGTGGCTGCACTGGTGCTGAGCACCAGCGTTTTGAAAGGCTTGAAGCGTTCAAGCCCCCTTGTGTTGGCACCTCGTGAGGTGGTTTTGGATAGGAAGCAAGATGCAGAGATGCTCTGGTTTGAGTTCGCGGGAGCCACCTTAGACCTGAAGCCCGAAGAGCCACGTCAGTCCAGTGCCCCAGCAGTGCTGGGCTCTGCCGAGAGGGCAGGGAGGCTGCTCGGTCCTCCCGGCATGGCACCGCTTACCGCTGCTTTGCCAAATGGCTGATTGAGCTGCACCCACATTATACCCGTATCTGGGAAAAGGTCTCATTTTTGTTTCAAAGACGCCTGAAGTGCATCTACACAACAGTAAGAGGTTTCACTACCCAAATACTTGAATGTTACCCAAATCAGATTTCAACAGTACATTTATAAAGACTAAAATTTGACAACTAAATAGATGTTGAAATGTACTTATAACTGGGTGATGACTATCAAATGGAGTCCCTCACAGGTCATGAAACTTAATCTCCTTGTCAGTGTCTGTGATACATCCTCACAATCTTCACTACTGAAACATGCTGCTATCACAAACATTGAAGGACAATAACTAACAAGGGGAGAAACCGCTGGGGTGAGGGCTTCATCCAGGACTACCAGGCTGTGGCACATGTAGAAATCCTGCCCAAGGTGCCAGTGTACCCACCCAGGCCAGCTGTGAGCTTCTGCAAATAGGCTGCAGCATCCCACACGTGCCCACAAGGGCCAACACTACCTGGACAGCACAGGGTTGCATTTGCACATATGTTTTTTGGGAATCCCTGGACAGAAATACTGGAGGATACCCATCGAGCAACACGTAACAGCAGTGCGATGGGCTCCATCCTTGGAAGTGGTGGCTTAGAATACACCCCGCACACCAAATGACCTGAAGCTCCTGCCATGAGGCTGCTGCACAAAGGGTTAATTTGCCAAGGCAGGGGACAGAGAAGACCTTGGAGGGGGAGTGTGCAGGTCCCATTCATGCACACGGGAATTGCCCAGACAGGCTGGGTCTGACGCTCCCCATCCAGGTGGGCTATTGGCAAACTGGGCAGGCTCCGGAGGAGGGCTGAGGGATGACTCAAGAATTGGGAAACAGGAGTCACGGCAGACAATTGAAGTAATGCTATTTATTTAGGTGCACAAAGAAAATGCACTTTGATCTCAGACTGTAAGTATTCATAGAAGGGAGTAGTGAACTCTCTAACAGAACAGATTCCTGCCTGTCGTGCAAGCTACAGAAGAGCAATGGCTGGAGACTGAAGCAAAACCATCACAGACAAATTGCGACAAAAGCAACATACCGTGGTTTGTTTCTCCACAACTGACCATTTCCAAACCAAATGAATGCTTTCTAAAAAAATCTTCTTGTTCAAACTAAATTTCATGCAAGAAGCTCCGTTATCCTGTATTATGCTCCTCTGGTATAATTGTCCTTCTGGCTTTACAATCTGGGAAACTACTTAAAACGTCCACAGGCAACTATTAATATATGTAAATATTTTCAAATGGATGATGCTGCTAGAACTGGCCCTTACATACATACACACACATGCATGCACACACAGTGAGCAGGTACAGGTTTTCAAGATAAATATTAAGCATTTCCTTACGTTGGCCTAATAATGATTCAAACATTGCCTTAATTGACTACACGACTGCTTAATTGAAATACCATTTAGAGAGTTCATTTCAATTCTATTGTGTCAGATAGGAAGTGTCTCATGGCCAATATTGCTTGAGTGAGTTAAGACCACCTAAATGGGTCCATACTTAGAGAACAGTGGATGAATGGTTATCTTGGAATAGAAAATGGAGCACTTCACGGTCCTTCCTCTCCAAAATGATGATTTCATTTATTACTTTTTATTGTTTTTTAAAGATTGTATTTTGCATTAGATCATTTCTCACTGTGAATTATGAACTTACTTCTACAAATACTCACTGGGTAGAAAGAAGATGAAGCCAACGTTAGATGGAGTTCAGCAAAGACTTTTTGCTTTAAAATAGGTCGACTGTTTAAGTAGTAGGAAACAGACACTATTTTTGGTATATAGACATTTTCAAACCTATGATTTCTGCAACCACAAAACACAATGCCACTGCTGTGACAATACCCTAAGCCTTTTCTCCTTTTTGCCACCTTCTGAAGTCATTTGTCAGATTTGCATTCTCGAAACTGGGACCTCCACAGTGAGGGGCACAAGCCCTTGGCAGTTGAGCTAGAGGACTACAGCCAGGTTTCCCAAGCTGGGCAGGTTCCTTCTGTGGCTTTCTCTAGGTAAAAAAAACAGAGGACGCTGCTCTTCTCAGTGTGCTCTGGTAGGGTCAGACCCACAACTTCTACCAGATTTGAATGCAAAGCTAGACGCCATTCTTTTACGCCAGTTTGAAGATACCAGCCATAGTCCTTTAGTTCAATACGGTAACGCTGATAATATGAAACCCACTTTTGAGAGGAACAAAGGCTTGTGCTGTGCTCCGTATGCACAGAGCCACGAGCAACTTCCTCCACACCTTATGTTTAGTTTTGCCGTTGAATGGAGAAGGCACTTGCCGGCACTTGTCTTTCTCCATCCTGCTTTGGGTTTGCATGGCAACTTTAGAACTAACGCTCCATAGGCTGATGCTGGCTCAGTAACCTGGCTTTTAAGTCTGCTGAACTTAGCATTTGTCGATAAAGCATTCTTAGGAGAAATAGGACACTTAGTAGGGTTTATCTGGCAGTGGTTGGACATATTTAGTGCAGGGAAGACTACCGCAAAGCCCTAATATGTGGCCTATTACCTAGCTTAGCTCCAGAGCGGAGAACTCCTGCTGAACAGGATAGAGAGCTTGTGGCTGTGAGTGAGCACAAAGCTGAGTTAAATCTGTCATTTTTCAGCAATACCACTGGGGGCAGAGTTAAACCAACTCAGAGAACTTTTTCTTCCTTTTTTAATTAATCTTCTATTACAGATGAAGAAGCAATGTGATCAAAAGCTGCTCATTCGAATGAAAACTGAATGTGTACCTTGCTCGTTAAACCTCGAAACCCAGTGCCCTGCTGGTTACACCAAAATTACCAATGGGACCGGGATACCGGACTGCAGGTACCTCTTCTGTCAGAGTTTTTTTCTGTGAATATTGTTCTCCTTGAATTGGAAAATGTTAATTCATATTACAAATGCTCTATTCTATGAATTTTTCTTAAGGAACATTTATCATTGGCTTCACCAGCTCCAGAATTCAAGCTTCATTCAGAGTACTTCAAGCCTGCAAGCCTAAAGTTAATCAGCAATGGTATAAGAGGAAAATAAACATTGCTATCCATGGCCTACCCGATTTTCTTTTGAGCGATATCATAAAATCACTTCTTTGTGTATTCTGCATACCTGATATGAATGATATATATCATATGCTAAATATATATTATCATATAAATGATATTTATATATCTTTCATATCATATGTTATCACACAAATAACAGATTTTTCAAACTGGGGATGTGTAGGGGGGTAAAGGGCAGGAAGAAATATCTCAAAACAAATTTGAAGTCTTGCCTTTCAGATTGAAAAAAAAAAAAGAAAAGCGGTATTTTAGGGGAAAAGTAACTATTTTGAGCTTATGTGGCATTTAAAAAACCTTGATATTAAATAATTTTTAAATACTATTTCAGATCAAAATTTAGAGAAAACTGCTGTGCTTAGGTTGCAGAAATGAAAAAAAAGATAAATATATACTATGCAAAAGAAACAGCTTCACAGATCTTTTTAGACCTCAATGTGCAATCTATGTTTTAATGAAGAAAAAAAGGCAGATCAATACAACTAAGCTTAAAGTGCTCTTGTCTGACACTGAAAGGAGAGGAGGTTAAGAATTTCATTTTTCCCCACAGGAGGCTTTTAAGTACTTTAAAGCAGCTCCAACTTCTTTTCCTCAGGTATTATCTAGAAATTAAAACACACACACTTTCTTTTCCTGGATGTCGGCATCATTGTATGAAGGAATTTGAACAACCTGAGTGCTGCCAGGGACACTGGGGCCCAGACTGCATGGGTAAGCTCTTTTTTTTTTTTTTTTTTGATAGAATTTGAGTAGTAAAGCAGTGATTTTTCTTCTTTTCAGAAACTATTGCCATGAGAAGTTTGCTTCTCAGAGCTTATTAGAGGAGTAGAAATAATCAGCAGTTGTCAGCCAAAACTCAGAGGATTCAGAGAGAAACCCATATTCAAAGCTTCATTTAAAAAGAAAAATTCATAGAAAAATTAAGAAAACTCAGGGAACCCTCTTGGTTTTGAGTTTTTCAAAACAAATCATTTCAGTCGATGCCTGCAAAATGACTTTTCATTCAGAAGGCTCTCCACAACAGATTTTAAAACCTTAAATTTTCAAACCACAAGTTTAAATGTTTCCTTTTAGGTCAAAAATATCCCCACCTGAGTCTGAAATTTTTCCAAATCTCTTTAATTCTTTACTTTTTGATGCAAGGAGGCTCTTTTCTTTCAGCTCAACTTGAAACAGTTTTTCCCTGTAAGTTTTTTGAACCTCTAGCAAATGCTAAAGGCCATTACTGAAGCAGGGGTAATCAGGAGTGCCTCTCGTCCTGCTGCCCCTTCCTCAGAAAAAGCCTTTCAGCATCTCCACAAGTGCATCAAACCCCAGGCTACTGAGCTGGGCATCAAAACCCACAGAGGAAATTTCCCTGCCCAGACAGAGCGTTTCCTCCTTCAGTTAACAGGGTCAAGGTCTGGTTCAACGTCTGTGAAGTCCTTTTGTCCACAAAATAGATTAAAAAATACATCATTTTAGCCCAAGCTATGATATCAGCCCTTTATTTACTAAAGCAAAATAGTCAAACCCCAACTTACAGCTACTTCTATAGAAAAGACAGGCAAATAGCCGAGGATGTAGCGTGTGGGCACGTCTTCTTCTGAAGATAACCACTCGTGTGGTGATTTACCATCTTTCCGCCAAATGCAGCCTAAGTGCCCGGTAGAAGGAAGGCAACGCTACACATGATCATCATTCAGGGTGCGCTGGGAGGCCGCGCGAGGGGCATCGGTATTTCTGGAGAGGGGCAGAGCTCGCTGCCCTGCCTGTGGGAAGGAGGCTGCAGGGGCAAGGAAGCCCTCTCTTCCTTCGGACAAACTTCCTGGCCCCAAAAAGCAAAGAATCAAGGTCTCAGCATTGTTTCTGCTGTCATCTGGAGGAAGAAAAAAGATCTGTGCATTTTTCGCAATCTCTCTAAGAGCGAATGGCGCGCCTTGAAATGTCTGGAGGAAAGCCGGTCCTTCCTGAGGCCAGAGAAAAATCCCTGACTAGGGGTTTACTTCACATTTAGCATCTGATGGCAAGGACAAAATTAGGTCTTAAATAGCACTCTGACTTCCTTAAACGATAGCACACATTGAAACACACAGTGTGAATGAAAGATGCTTTGTCCCCTTCTCTCCCCACAAGGCCCCCCCCAAGCCAACCAGCCACACATGTATCCCTCTGTAAAAAGGCATCAAGGAAAAAGGGAAAAGGACAGAGGGAGGAAGGTCCAGGGGAAAAGAGCACAGCCCTTTAACACTGGCAGTATCATCCAACCACCGATACCACAGCTGGTGGAGCCCAGATGTCCTACTGATGGGCTCCAGCAGGAGCTACTCCCTACCCCACCTCAGGTTCCCACTCTGGGCAAGTATTTACACGGCTTCAACAAAAAGCCTGGGTACCAACTGAAGGTGCGTGGTATGAGCAACTGAGTAGAAAGCACTGTAAGAATAAAGAAAAAAAAGTGAAAAGGAAAAAAAAAAGGCCAAGAAGGAAGATAAGAAACCTAATTCTGTCAACTCGTATGGTCAAAAATACATCTTTACAAGTTCTACCCACTGCTTCAGCCTGCAGGGAGTCAGATGAAGAGAAGTAATCCAAGAGGCTGCATTTGAAAACGCTTGGGAAGTGCTGAATTAAACTCTACGAGGCAAAAAAGCTGATAGATTTAAGCTCCTTTGGCCTAGATATCAAGATTTGGCCTTCATACTCTGACAGCTGTCAAAGCTAAGCAGAAGCATCTCTTTCCTACTACTCTTCAAAAAACATCCTCAACAAAAGCAAAGGTCTCGCTTCTCCCCAGTGCCAGGGTGGTGGCAAACGACTGTGCCAGCATCGCTCCAGTGTCCCGGCACGGCCTCCTGTGGTCCTGCCGGCCAGGGGAAGCGCTTTATCTGCCTGACCAAACTCTTATAACTACATGGTAATTTGCTAAACTTCTGATAAAGCTGTCCCTTGGTGGTGGTATCAAAACAAGAGAGAAGAGGCAGTGAAGACAAGGGGAAGTGTGGTGAATGCCAACTGCAAAAAACCTGTTTTGTCAGCAATTTTAAAGTACGTTTTCCTCGAAATTATACCATAAACTCTGAGTTTTCTCTGTCTTTGCACATTCAAATAAAAGCATCAGTGCAGGTAAAATTGTTTCCCTTCAGAGCAAATATTAAACAGTTTGCATCTACGTCAGCCCTAGAGATGAGATTTAGCTATCACACGGTAGCCAGGAAACAAGATTCACTAAAAGCTACTTGAAAGATTCTGTAAGTATATGGATTTATTACTTTACCTAAATTCTGGCTATTTCATCTCAATTCTTAATAAAACTTTTTATCTCAGCAAGTATGTGATAAACTGCACCAAAATTTTCATCTTCAAATTTATTGGTTTTTCACAAGAAGCTTATTCAGATCCAACAGACCTCACAGACTCATTATTAAGGAATAAATTAAGAAATATTAACAGAATGGTATAAAGCCAAAGCCTTCACTAAAATTAGGTGTATATATACACACATCTACTTATTTGCTCATCACTGTGTCCAAAACAAATTCATTTTCATGAAAACTTCCCCATGACTTAAACACTCTAAATCAGGATTAAATTACTCAGTGGGAGCACAAACCCAGTGCTGCTCATCTCCACCTACACAACAAACTGAGACTCTTCACAAGCAATAAATCTATCAGTAAGGTACAGCAGAGAACCTGTGAGGGCAGTAGGAGTTTGATACATTTAGATACCACCTGCATCAGGATTATGGTACCTAATGGGAACTCCAGTTATGGGAAGAAAGGGCTTATGGAAGGGAGTTAATAAATCATTTCCACAGAGAGGCTGCACAACTATAAAAAATAAGGTTATCCCTACAGGGGGAAAAACCTGACAGAGCAATCTGACTGAAAATTACTGTAATATGTATTTCCTATAGGTAACCTTTCAGTAAAAATCTGAATATTGAAAAATTTCAACCAAAATTTAAACTATTTTCATTTGGAAATACAGTCGTCATTTCTTATCCTCTCCTGCTGGCTGGGGTTTTTGGTCAGCGTCTGTCTCACCTGGTATACCACTAACTGTAATCATGGTTTTAGCAGCAGAGGATCTGAAAAGCATAGCACATCTTTGGCACCCAAGTTTTACGAGTAACCACAGCCCATTGGACAGCAGTGGGTTATGAGATAGCCGAATTTCAATTTCCAAGATCATTTGAATCAAATATCACAGTCTTATGGGAGGCAGCAGGGAAGAGGAAAAACTTCCCACATAAAGCAAATGCAATTTGTGGGGAAAAGAAAAAGGCCTATTTAAACTCTAACGTAGCATCAGATAGAATTCTGACAGCAAATTTTCAATCAGAGTTGTATTAACATAAAGAAGAAGTGGTCAGGCAAACTCTGCTTGCATCAAAAAAGCTAACAGTTTAGAGTGCCTGCAGATAGAGATGGACTAGCAGGGACAAAATCGATGTGGTACTTTAGAATAAGAAAACTATTTTTTGTGCAATCCTTTGATCACCGTCACTGGCTTAAGTTCCCAGACTAGAGCGGCTGATGGTCTCTGCTGAAGCTGAGATTCTAATGAAGAGATCTGGGCAGCTGCAAAACAGCAGCAGTCACTCGAGGTCCCTGCCTGGCCCAAAACCCTGCAGCCTCCGAGGCTGTCCCCCCTAATGTGCAAGGGGAGCAAAAGGGTCAGAGCAAGCTGGCTGATGGCTTAAACGTTGTCATTTCTAGCATGTCCCGGAGGAGCTGCGTCACCCTGCAACCGGAGAGGACGCTGCTCCCAGGGTATAAACGGGGATGGAACGTGCACTTGTCAGGTACGTCCTTTCTTTCAAATGAACAAATGTAACGACAGCATGTAAGCTCTGCTAAGAAATACCGCATATTACATTGTATAAATGCATTAAAGGAAAGTATTTCAGAAACAGCAGAGATGATCTGCTTGGAGTTCATTTTTTGCTTGGATTGCACACTATTATTTCTACAGACTTGAGCATGTTCAGGTGAAATTAAAAAGTTCTTCCATCTTGCCTTCCTGAAACAGGTGTTTTGAGTTCCCCTATTTTTTAGAGTGTCCTATTACTTATGACTTTTTGCCCTAATTAGAAAGTACTTATACTTGGGACTACACTCTCAATACAATGTCCCTTTGCTGAGGGTGCAATGTGCAGTGCTTAATAACTTCAGCCAAAAAGATTTTTTAAAAAAACAACTCAAATGAATCTTTTCTACCTCCCCCTCTACTGGTTAATCTTTCCATTACATCAAAAAGCACATCTCCTGGGGACAGGTAAAAGAGAGACAGAGTAAGAAGTAGTCAGAAAATACAAGCTAACAATTGTAAGGATGCTTTAGGTATTAGGCTTGATTACTGTTCTTTATTGTTAACTTGATATTCAGAACATCTGATTTGAAGCATAAGATCTAAAAATTATTTTTTAAAAAGGCAGAGAGAGGAGGGGGGGAATCATTCAAAAGACAATGTTTTCTAGATTGCAGTAGTTATTTCTGATTTGCTGATTGAATCTTTTGTGTTATTTTCTTTTGGCAGCTAAAGATGCTGTTTTCAGGCTGCTAAGCTTATCAATCTGTATAGAGGTAGATGAGAAACTTACGGTTTGATTTCCATTCTATAATTCACAGAAAGGGTTTGGTGGGACAGCCTGTGAAAAATGTGCTGAAGATAATCTCTTTGGTCCTTACTGCACATCAGGTAAGACTGAGCTTTCTTTATTGAAATGGGGATAAGAAGGTGGGTGAAATCTGTATTCAGACACTAAGAAATCACAGTGAAACGGGTAGAGGGTCTAAGGGTTTCCCATCAAGAGCTGCTGTCTGCTTCAGGGAACACAACAGCGAAAGAAAATAGGCAGCTACTCAATTCCTCATTCACAGTGGGGCTGGATTCAACTCAGGACTGTACAGACAACACTCTCAGTGTAGTGCTACAAAAATATCTTAATCTTGTCTTGAATATTTTTTTCATAGCCAACAGTCAAATAAATTAGGGATTGGAATAATCTGTGTGTTCGTGGAGGTATGCCTCCCTGTTAGCCCGTTATTGTGTTATCCACTTTTCACCCTAAATTATGGATTTGCATTTATTTGATCTAAATACAGGAGGTTGTTATGGTACTTAAAACATTGGGTGGGAACATACCAAATGCATAATTTATAGTAGCTTACAGTGTTTTAGTACGGTTTCTAAATACATCTACAAACTGGACCATCTGTATTAAGGCATGAAATACTCATGGCATTTAAATCAGTACATCGGACTCAAAAAAGGCCATTTTGAATCAGGGCAATAGTCCTTCTAGCCTAGTATCCCCTGTGGGAGGCCAATAGTTGATATCCAGGGAAAGAGTAAAAGCAGCCAGAGACCGCATTCAAATTCTAGTGTTTAAAGGCTCCTCCTGAATCCATCCTCCATAAATTACCTACCTTGGCTCTGAGTCCAATTTGCTTTTACTCTCCACAGTATCCTGTGCCAGGGAGCTCCACAATTCAGTCAAAAGTGCGAAAAAGGATGGGTTTGGTTTAGTTTGGGGTTTTGGCTGGTAGAGGATTTCATTGGTTGGCCATACTTGTATTAGGAGAAGCAGGACATTGAGGGAGGGATCAGAGCTATGTGCACTATTTAAAATGTGTATCACAAGTGTATATATTTGTATAATATTTTCCAGTTTTGCCTGTTTCTTAATGATTTCTAGTATTTTGTTTGCCTTCCTGACCCCAGCTGAGCATTAAAGCAATACATCAGAAAACTGCCTGAAAAAAAAATATTAAGAAACATCTCTTTCTTAACTGGTAATAGTTATTTATCTCTAAGTAAAACTCTTTTTGTTCCCTCAAGATGTACAGAAAGTTACTTCTAAAAAGGGTCACGAACGGCCTCACTTTAAATGATCTGCGTTGGCCTTTTTACACTAATCCTATACCACTGCTGACTCAAAAGGCCCTTTTTCCACCAGCTGTCCACTGGATGCCAGTGTTGATACACAGAAATGTAACTGAGCCAACATTTTCATGAAAATAGGGTACTTGAATGAATTTAATATCATAAATGTAATTATTTTCCAAGAAGCTACTGGAGGATTCAACTGCATATTAATTTAAGCAATATTTTACACTTCAGCTTTCAGATATTTGAACTCGTCCAAGTTTTCTAAGCACCTATAAATATTGTGCATTTATGACTAACTGCCTTTCAGCAACGCCCTGGATGCTCCTCGTTTTTGTGTTAGGACTACTAATGTAGGTAGAATACTACTAATTAATTAGTGTAGGTGATTTGCATGAATACAGGATACGTTTGCAAAGGGAAGGAGATACGCAACATCACTGCAGCTTAAACATGAAGTCACCAGTACAACTCTGTACATCTTAGAGGCTTTTCCAAGTGTAATTGTACAGGGCCTTTTTAAAAAGCATCACTACCATAATTGAAACAATTATAACTATAAAGCCTTTTAAGTACACATAAGGCTTCAGAAACCACTTATAAAGGGGTCTCATAGTTGCCTGAACTCTGAATAGGGAATCATGTGCACATACTGTCACAAGGTTTATAACCAGAAATGACAGAATATAGGAATAGGACCAGAAAAAAGCCTGCGACCTACACAGTGCCTAATTATCCTTTTAACTAAATAAATTGTGTCCGGGGGAGGGGGGGGGATGACACGGGACCTCACAAAACTCATCTCTTCTGGAGGTGTTTGAGAGAGGCAAACAGAATTGAAGCCAAAATGAGCAATTTATTAATAGTTATAAAAATGGTCCATGTTACACATAATATTCAATTTTGGCTCAAGACTGTATGTCAAATTTTACAAGTTTTATGGTATTAGCAACTAGTCAGTTTGGTGTTTATAGTGTGTGTCCTGAAGATTTTCAAGCCCTCAGGCTATTATCAGCCTGCAAAAATCAGTATGTTATTTACTGATGTACGCAGCTGTGAGTATTGACCTTCTCATTAATGGAATCCTATAAATTCAGGAACTCGGGTCAAAGCTTGGTTTTGAAACATTACACTTTGTAATATTTAACCTGTTGTTGGCCAGGACACTGTTTGCTATGGGTAAACACTAACAATGTCTTTCTGAACACCATTATTATTCCGTAAAGCCAATCCATCTCTCCATATAGTTTGCAACTGTGTTCACGGAGTATGCAACAGTGGAATTACAGGGGATGGAAGATGCTCTTGCTTGTCTGGATACAAAGGGCTCAGCTGTGATCAGCGTAAGTAAATTGTTTTCTAAGTAAGATATATTCAACAGCTCTGACACCGTTAGAATTGGTGAGGATGAATGTAAAATTAGACCGAGGCCAGTCACTCTAGAGCAACCAAACATACACCAGACCTCAAACCCTGCATGTGGGCTCCCATAGCCATCATCACCACTTCAACCGCCAGAAAAATGATGACAGCAATGGGATCGATGGTCCCTAGATCGAGTGTACTTTGAACTAGTATACCGCAGAACGCAACGCCTCCTGGCAGAGCGTGCTGACACAGCTTAACCTGTCGCACTCTGTCCCTCAGCAATAGCGGAATGTGAGGCCTTGCGGTGCCCTGAAAACTCCAGATGCACCGCCTCAGGTGAGGATGGAAGACAACTGCAATGCACGTGCCTGCCCAACTACCACGGGGATGGTACACGATGTGAACGTGAGTAATTTTCATGCCCACCGAGTTCTTTGTATACAACATAATTGGTATTATAGTTCAGATATTGAATGCCCTTTTGAACCACGTCTCACCATCTAATTGTTCTTGGGTTCATATCACAAAGCAGTCTTACGTGTACCGACTAGATTCCTTCAGGATGAAACTAAACCCTAAAATGTGCTTCAGAAGCACATGATTCCAATTGCTAACAAGCTTCAGTCCATGCAACCAGACTAAAGCTAGTAAACCCCCTTAAAATACATAGTGTGGATATTGGGCCATCAGTACTTGCAAATCCATTCCCATCACATCCCTCTACTTGCTAAAGTTCAACCTTATAGTTTGCTTCCATAAAAATAAACAACAACAACCAAGGGCTTATATTTATTGAATATCCATCATGTGGTGGCTCAGCTTCATCACTAAGCATAAACTCTACGGGCAAGTAAACCTCATTTGAGCTTCCCTATTTTTCATGAAACAAAGCTAAGAGTATCTCAGCTAGACGTAAAAGTCTACCTTAAAGTTGTCTTTATAGACTCCTTAACTTGCCATTGAATAGTCTGATTTTATTACAAGAGTTCAGATTTTCTTTCCTCTACTTACATTATGTCTTACAGCACCAGCTATTTAGGAAATGTCAGCTTGGATCAGGCCACAAGTACAATACTTCTTATCCTGTCTGGCAACATTTACCTTGAGTCCTCTTGGTCCTAACTATGGTGTCACCCTCTCTGAATAGGCTTGAACACCATCCAAGAGCAAGACATCAGAAAGTCACTCCTCAGGGAATGTGATGTTCTTCTAGTAGACAGCATAGGCAAGTGAGAGACAAAGAAATTGCAGCAACCAGCAGAGAAGGATGCTAGTATCCCTACATCTCTCAGGTTTTGTATTGATGCAGTCTGCGTGGATGTTGCTCCTCTGTCCCAATGCCTTTAGATACCATGGTCATCTGTGGCTTGAGCCAGTGTCTTTTACATTTGACTGGCTGGGAAGCAGAGGACAAGCAACTCCAGCACAGCTAAGCACTTAAGTGAGGATGGCAGTGGCTGCCCCAGGCGCTGCTTGGAGGTGGCATTGCTTGTGGTCAATTTGAGCACGTGAATGTGTGTGTACACGCGTGATTTCACACCAGAACAGAAGGGAAGGCTTGAAAGAGTGAAGCTGAGCATTGCCAACTCTCTCAGTCCCAGCTGAGAGGGAAGAAAGGGAGGAGGAAAGGGGAAGAAAATTAGCAACACCACCTTTTAGGTGAGTCCAGGGCCTGCCACCTTCCAGGTACAATGTGTGCTTGACCATATCCTAAACTGGACACAAAGCTGTGAGCAGGTGTTCTCCAAGCACTGCTGGACTATGAACAAGGACAAACAATGCCATTGCCTTGAAAAAAAGGGCTCACGGAAATAACTAGTGAGCTTCCAGTCCAGTCCTGAAACTAAAGCAGTGTGGAAGACTCGACTAAAGCACTTGCTGGCCAGTTTTCCGTATAGCTGAACGGATGACATTATATTGTTTAATTACCGGAAAGAAAACAGTGAAGGCCTATTGTATTGAGAAATATTTTCCAACTGATCTAACATGCTTAAAGCTTGTACAGACCTCATATCACCTACCTGACCTTCTCTGGTTAAAATCCACCAGAGAACAGGGAAACAGTTGTGATATTTTAATGAGCACGTTACATGTTTTAATCTGTTTATAACTCAATTTGCCAAGTTAAGTGATTATTTCTGGTCAAAAGCAAACAGTTGGTTGCGACGTTAGTATAAACACATTCCTCCCTTCTCTCTTCATGCTGCCACAATACCTTGTTATGAGAAGTTTAGTCCACCCGGGCTTTGTTTGGCATGGAGGTGCTCTGGCATATCCTCGTCTTCAATTTCAGAACTGTGGGCAGTAACTCATTTACTTCACTTCTTTTTTTCCACAAGCTATCAACCCATGCTCCAAAAAGGTCTGCGATCCTAACGCTGACTGCATTTACCTCGGACCAAATCGGCACAAATGTACCTGTCGAGAAGGTTACCGAGGGGACGGTCAAGTCTGCTTACCCATAGACCCTTGCCAAGCAATATATGGGAATTGCCCTGCCCAGTCTACCATTTGCATCTACGACGGTCCAGGAAAGGTTAGTGTTGAACGGGTGTCCCAGACATTTCTTATGTCAACTGCCTAGGAAGGTATAACGCTTTCTTCACTGAAAAGAAGCCCTGAGGGTATGGGAACAGGTCTCGGGGAGCCCAAGCTCTACTCCTAGCTTTGGCGTAAGCCCCACCGGTGACCAGGCATGAGTCCCTTTACCTCCCTCTCTATGCATCTACATGGTGCTTTCCCCTCTGAAAATGGGAATGGCAATAGTGTGCTTTTTCCTAGAATATTTTGGCTCAGATTTGCCTCCCCAAAATGAAGGCACTGAAATGAAGCTTCTCCCAGCTAAATTTTCTCTCTCTGACCACAGTGGGTTTGTAAGACCGGTAGGCTTCTTACACAGATACCGCAGATAAATACCTACAGTGAATGTATTTAGGAAAGAATTAATTTGGGTCTCTGAGGACTACCAAAAATGTCACCATATAGAGGCTGCACATTATTCACGCTGTCAGGAACTGGCTCAGGTTTCCATGCGTAAAACTCCTGCCACCGAGAACTCGAGACTTCAGAAGACCATGCCTGTTTTGCCTGGATACCCTGAAGAGCCAAAAAGGGAGTCAGTCATCCAGGGTCATCCTGCAGTTCATGTTCATATAAGTGCTGCTGCACCTCGCTTGTTAATAATATGCGTTGGCACTCGTTTTGCGAGGCAGAGGGCTGTGGAAACAGAGGTAAAAAATTTGACCTACCCACACTGATTTTAAATGTTCTCTGGTTACAGAAGTGAATCTAAAGGGTTTTATCTGAAGGAAATTTATCTGAGAGTCAGTAGTTTTCTGGATCAGATAAAACATAGAAGGGAGTTGTATAAATATGGATAAGTTTTATACTTGCACCTGAACTCACCAGGTGATTAACTAAGGCTTTGGCAGCTTACTGTCTTTAGACCCTAGTTCCAGAAAATATGCTAAAATCCACAATTTGTGCATGTCTAATTTTTCTCTCCCCTCTCCCATCCTTCTGATTTAGTCCCACTGTGAATGCAAGGAGCATTACACAAACTTCATGCCTGGGAAAGGATGCAGCATGACGGACATCTGTGAAACAAACAACACGTGCCATAAAAAAGCTAAATGCTCAATGGTTGCACCAGGACAGATTACGTGAGTCTTTTTGCTTATTAAAGCTTTCGCCCAGTTTCTTCCTCCTCCCCCTAGTAAACAAGCCGCTAAAACAAATCCAGTGGATAAACACCTCCTGAAGTTATCATTAATGGTTTCCTTACCAAGGACAAATTACAAGATTTAATGGAGTTAGGGTCAACCAATTAGCATAGTGTTTGATTTCATCAGTCCAACTGCTAATACCTACTAAGTTTTATTTTTATAGCACTCAGAGGTCATTTCTACACTAGTAAATAAAAAGGACCAAGACCTCTTCTGTTCCTCAGGGCAAGCAGCATGGTCTGGCTCACAGCTAGAGTCTCTTCTTCTTCCAAAACAGAGTAACTGCTTCTTGGCAGAGGTCCCTGGCACATGCTAACCCTTCAACTGTGCCTGGGCACTGCCAGGGAAAACGCTACTTGGTGTGGGCCAGAAACATGCCAGGCAGCATGCTAAAAATTAATCGGCATTAATTGTCATGGGACAGCACTGGAGCCCTGGCTCTTTTTACTATACTAGTATGAGGGAATCTGACCCCCATGCTTTGAAAGCAACACCAACCTCGGCAGATTGCTCAAAGCCTTGAGACAAGCACGTGGGAAACTACAAAACCTCTGGCAGAGTTTGTTTTCCTGTACAGAAATCTGCTACACAGATGTTAGGAGGAAGGTCGGTTTTAACACTAAACTTAACAAAGCTACCTTAAACCAAACAATTTGGATCACATGTTTCCATAGCCCAGTGATGGCTAGTACCAGGTTTAAAGAGGTGTCCCTGAAATGTCAGTTTTCAGGAGCTGAGAGTTTAAATATGAAAGACAAGACAGGCCATTAGTTCTAAGTTGGGGACAAGTTATTTATCATACAGATCTATATAGACAAAAAGCATTCACTCAGGAGAGTATTCTTATTGCCAGTTCTTGCTTCATCATGCAGTTTTCTCTTACAGTGTAATATCAACATCATTTTTGTGTAAGCTATTGTGCATTTCAAACAAGTTTATCTAGAATATCCCCTAGTTCATTTCTAGAGCATACTATACTACTCAAACTGCACTTAGTATATACTTATACTATACTTAGTATAGTATACTACTATACTGCACAACATGAGTTGAAAATTACAATAAAATCCCACATCACATAAATCAGGACCTTTCCTACTTCATTATTGTTGCACTGTTGCAACTCAATTTTCAACAGCTGAGGAAGTTTTGAGAATTTCAGAATGAGAAAATTAAAAATTTATGACTGGGGGGAGGAAACAAGCAATCCAAATGCTTTGCACATCATTCAGTGACTTTTAATGGCAAAAACAAATACAGAAGAAAGGAGTGGGATTCAAATCAAACTAAATCTATTTGGCAAAAAATTGAAACTATACTGATTAGTTTCCAGGTAAGGAAAATCCATTTATGAAAAAATACTTTGCAGAGAAAAACATTGATAGGTAAATGTGAGCACAATAAATTGTTTCTGCTAAGTGACAGACACTGTATCTTGGCTGCATCCCAGATTTTAAATGTATTTGGGAGGGCTTGATTTGGTGGGGTTTTTTACTTCTTCTAAAACACAAAGCTGTAACAGGGGCCACAAACCTGCATTGCTTCCTTCCTTTTGTTTTTGGTTTTGTTTTTATTAAAGGCACAGTTATGCTGTTAGTTTCCCCCATATAGAGTCACTTCTACTTTCTCCAGAATCAAATGCTTTGTACAGGAATAAATCTTTTGTACAGACAAAGATGTAGAAAAGACAAACGTTTAGTTTGTGAAGATAATGACCTCCTGGAAAATCAAGATTGTCTCTGTTTTCTGTTCCCATATAGATCTTTCCTGAGTGATTGCTGACACTTTCCATGGTGTTGCTTCAGCACAGTAATTATGTTCAGCCTTGCCCAGAAGCTATGAAGCTCCAACTGGTGCAGAATTACACTGAATATTAGACCATAAACTCTTTGGTTTCTGAGCAGAACTAGCTTTCCCTCAGCTAAACTCAATTATTTTCTTTTTTAATCTCACTCTTATTTTTACTCTGACTGTGTCTTCAATGTAGGCATTAGTAGCTTCGTAAACCAAAACTCTGTTATACAAGTTTCAGGCAAAATGGAGACAGAAAGCTGATCTCCCCTTTTCTATAGAGATACAGTGCTTTTCCCCCTCCTGGGTAAGCTGAAGTAGTAACAGGTCCCATCTTTTTCAGTCCTGCCTATACTGTCCATGCAGCATATCATGAAAACAGCAAACAACTAAGTTTAAATAGTCCAGCAGGGTTTGTTGTAAAGCTGTTGCTCTTTAAAGGCACCCAGCCTGTACAGTACACAGTGCATTCAAAGCAAAACCTATAGAGCCATATGCAGTATGAGTTGCAAACCAGATCCTCCAGACAAAGCTAAGACAAAACTAATCTAGTCAGTCACCCAGCTGGTCCTTCCCGAGCCCGGCCACACGGAGTAAATTACTCCATCGGAAAGGGTGAGGGGACAAACAGGTTGAAGGGTACAATCCCATGCAAGAGGTGCTAATCTATAATTGCTAAATGCTTTCCTTTGACAGTCAGATTCAAACTTTGTTACTGGATACCCACTCAGTTATAAGCAATATTGTCCTCAGAAAAGAAGTTTCAAACTACGTAGGTATTTCTGCAGTTCACTGTGCCCCTGGAAACGATAGCCAAAAAAAATTCCTACGTTAACCACCAGCTGAGGTGGTTTATTTTGAAACCTTGATCTGATTTGTGCAATATTTCAAGGGTAGTTTCTTTTTTCTACTAAACTATTCCTCAGCTCCTTTGAAGCCTCAGGTTTTTTCTTCTCTGCTCAGAAGTGAAGGGAGCGAGGTAGATCAATACAGCAATATTTACCCCATCAGATGAAAGGGGTCAGCTCCCAAGGAGGAGCTGCTCCTCTCTCCCAGCCCTAAACCCTTCATCTGGGCTCCACAGTCATACCCTCTGCCCAAGAGATCGCCTTAAAAAGAAGAAGGCTTACCATCAGAATCACATCCTAAAAATTTAAGATGCTTTTAGACTGCTATTTTTACCCAGGACTGGAAGGAGTCAAAGCTTGAGCCTCTTGGCCAAAATCCCAGCACCCCTCTGAGTCTATATGTAGCCCCTCAGACTGCAGGGACTGTGGGGATTTTCAAATATTGCTATCACCAGAGAAACAGCTATGGTAGAGACCGTACGTGGGGAACAGGAGATGATTTGGCATCAGGTTGATACTACTGTGGGGTGTGAGTGGCAGATGTGTGTTTGTAACAACCAGCACATGCAAACTGTTAGGTCATTAGTTATATAAAGAACATCTTTTGCTTGCGTAATGTTCCTTCCCTAATGATGCCTTTATAAAAAATATCCAGAGAGATGAATCATTATGGATAGGGCTTCATACAAATACTGAACATGCTGCAGACTTAATTAGGAAAGGCACTATTAAAAGCCAATGTTTGGCAACACATATGATATAGTTGCTTAGCCTCCTAAACATAGTTAGGGCTTCTTTCTGTGCGTGCTACATGTTGACAAGCACCTGCTTTAATTTTAGCACTGAAAATGAGTAAATCACTGCACTGACACCACCAGCCAGTCTCCCAAGCACAGCCAAGCAGGGGCTGATTTTCTGAAGACTGCAACAGAAAGACCCGAGATTGGCAAAACCAGCAGGCATCGATGGCCCCTCACGTTGAGGCAGCCTTGAAGAGCCCAGATGTTTTAGAAAGTACTAACCACCTCTCCCGGTGAACAGTCAGGCTGACACAAGGTCAAGGCATACACAAGTCCTAGCTGCTCTTTGAAACGCACAACCATTTGTACCCGTCAGCACCTAAGAGCAAGCATGTGTCAATCACACTGACAACCAACAATTTCTTCCCCACCTCTCTTGTGATGCTGAGGTCTTTCATGACAATAAGATTCCATTTTCATGAGGCTCGTTCCCCCCCCTCATAGGACAGAAAATGTCAGACTGACACTTGTGCTGATTCTTCCATGAATTTCCTTTAGATTTTGCATTGGCTGCAATGCGCTAATTCAAATGCAGCCCATCCCAAGGCAGTGAGGATATTGAGCCCATCTCAAGGCATTCCCTGCCCCTTTCACAGGCACCACGACCTGAGTCTGGTTTGGACATACGTAGGACTGGGTCAACCGTACATCACTGACACCTCTTACAGGCTGGAGTCCCCAGGGGACAGCCAGGGTATTGCAGGTGAAATGCTATTTCCAGTACAGAGACAGCAACAGCATAAAGCATACATCTGAAAAAGCATGAGATTTCGTGCTTCAGCAGCTTCAGAAAAAAAATAGCGTTAGGTACAAGCACCATTGCCCAAAATGGTTGCGTTACTTAAAGGGTAGGGTAACAAACAACGACTTTGTTGAAAGGACTGACACCCCTGCCTGCCTTTTCCTACCAATCCCATACAACTATCACAACTATTGATGAGCTGCCATCACCCGCTTCATACATAACTACCGTTAATCCTGCCAAGTCCCACGTAGTGAGTGGGGGCTTCACACAACCACCTCCCCACTGCAAGGGTGGCACCCCGCACATTGATGCCGTAGCCTCTCCTCGCCCACAGGCAGGCGGGTTCAGTGGCTTTTTGGGCTCCAGCAACCACAATATTTGGGGACCAGAGGCTGCACGGCAGCCAGGGGGGTTGCATAGCCCCCGGCTGACAGAAGGACATCACGTCAGGCAAGCAGCCACCAGGCTGCCCTACACACCAACGTACTTCACAGCATACAGAAGCAAAGATTAAACTAAAATGCACTGGTGCCTCCTGAAAATGCCTTCAGAGAAGCAATAGGTAACACCTAGCGCAGGTTTAGCAAGAGGCTCGATGACGCCACGGGGCATCGGCGCGCAGCTAAAACGATGATCCCTTCCCAGGTGTACGTGCCAGGGGGGCTCCGTGGGGAACGGGTTTGTGTGCTACGGAAACATCGCGGAGCGCCTCCGAGACCTGAACGCAGAAGTGGGAGGACGGTGGCAAGGCAAGCTGACCTCCGCCTTATCGCTCGTGGGTAAGTGACCACACGCAAGCAGGGTCAGGTCCTGCTGGGTGGGTTGATCCTGCCCCGTCTTCCCCCAGCGCTCCCTGCCGCGGGAATGGGCCGCTAACAGCATGGCACAGCACACACGCTACCCGCCGCAGACTGCCTCTAACCGCCTGAAGCTGCCTTTGCTCAGCATGCCGCACAATCCGCAAGGATTTCCAAGCAGAAGCGCTAAACACGCTCCTACAACCCCTCTCACATCATTTGGTGTCACCAGTGGGGTTTGCCCCATAGTGGGATAAGTGGGATCATTCCACTTCTCCCTCCCTGCCCCCATGGATTTGGATAATTGAGATTTGATCTAGAATGATGCACAGAAGTCCACCGAAAACATCAGGATTCCCAGCTGGGTCTCTTTTCCCCAGTCCCCAGCCAGCAGCAGTGGCCGTGCTTTCACCAGGAATGAGGAGAGAGGCAAGGGGAAGAGACTAATCCCATCCACGGCCTCCATCACCCTCAGGACCCCCCACCAGGGCACCTCGGCCATAGTTGGGGTTCTCCACATTTCTAAACTGTCTGCAGAGGTGAGCTGGAGCCCCTGGCAGGGCTCACAGCTTCCAGCCTTGCGTAGTTATTGCAGTCACCTTGTGAAGAGAATAGCACAACCATTTTCATCATCCTCTGTTACATGGCCAGCTATTTGAGCTATAAACAAACACTACTAGAATCAAGCTGGATCTTTCAGTTAGATTTATAAATATGAAAAATTTCCTCCTGTTTAATATAATTTGTTCAGTCATTTTCACTGACCACAGCAATTAAAATAAAGATCCTAAATTCCTGACCAGAATGGAATAAGAATACCCCATAACCGGCCAAGGACAAAACCTGGCAGTGACCTTCATATTCAGCACTGGAGACTGAAATCCCCAGCACAGTCTGAAAAGTACCCAATGTGCTGAGCTCCACCATTTGTTAATAACAATCCAGATTTTATGTTCTTTGGTTAAGTTTTGGACATAAACGTGCCATTTGATTTACTAGTTAGAAGCTACAAAGACACATTAACCACACAGGCTATCTTACAATACATTCACTCCACGTTAATGTCTTCAAAAGCTAAGAACATACATCAGAATACTCCACATTGGTTTGTAAGACAGCATATTAATTTTGAGATATATTCTCTGGTACAACATACGTATAATGACCGTAAAGATTTTTTCAGTTCTGATTTTAAACTTCTGGAAAAAGACCTGAATATAAGAAATATTTAATGCCTTCAGCTGCAGAATCAGTGGTCTCATCCTGCTGTCTTAGAAACAGAAATACCACCTGGGTAGCAAATGAACTTTAACTTTCAGTGCATCAGCTTTTATTACCAGCTATGTATTTGCTGATACTTGCACTACCAGCAGGTTATCAGCAGCATATCCCTCACCCCATGAAGACCGAATTGATTTAAAGCAGAGGGCTATCTTCCTGTAAAGACACATCTCCAAAGAAACGGTACTTTCACGTCCATCACCCTGGTCTGCGTGCCATGGAATCCGGGGTGCCAGAAGCATTCTGAATGTTTTGCCTCATCCTGTGTCAAATATGCAGCAGCACCTGGATTTCACATCTCATCTCTGCCTCTCATCTTTCAACAACTTGCAGTTTAGAATCCTAAATTAACATTTAATAATCACAGAGAGTGTTCTTTCTTATTCTGCCTTTGCATACCTGGCACAGATCACACAGTCCCTTCCTCCAATGAGCTTTTCAATACACATTTAAACTTTTTTTCCCCCCACCTCTCTCCTTATAAGAAAACGTCTATGAATGGCCACTGAGTACTCTGGGACCATTTACCATGCTTGTACCAACAAACAAGGGGCTCAAAGGTACAAATGTAAGTAAACAACAGAGAGGGTTTTAAATTGGGGGGATTTAGCTCCTTTAGAAATCTCTGTGTTAAAAGTGTTTTGATACAACAGATTCAGAAGAACTTTTTGCTCTAGTACACTTCTGGATACATTTCAATCTAGGGGCCAGAGATTGTGTTCTTCCTACTTGAAAGAAAACCAAAACAATTTGGTGAGTCAGGGTAGAATGCAACCATGCTTCTAGTAAGTTTTGGATTATCTTACATGGCTATACTTGAGGTTTTTTCTCTTGGTTGAGACAGGGTCTGAATTAAAATCCAAATTTTCAGCAGGGAAGCCTACAGGTTGCCTTTTATGTAAGGGTGATTAAAAAAAATACTGTTTTTAGTTTAAAGAAAAAAAAAATGACCTGATATGCAATTGGTCAGCACCCAGTACCTTCCCCTGAAGTCAGGACAACTCTAGAGACACTTACTGCTCATGCAGGGACATAAGGGTATTTTCTGACCTGAACTGAAACCAAGAGACACATCCATTTCGTTCAGACTCTATCACCTCACTTCAGAAAAAAATGTGTCATTTCAGAATGTAACAGCTGGAGGGAAAAAAAAGCATTCACCATGAGATTATATTTAGATGAAGCCTGTATTGAAATAAATCTCTGTTCTTCTGCTCTTCTAGATAAAGGATCTTCTGAATAATAAACAGAAAGCACAGTACTTTGTGAAACTCCATGTAATTGCTGGTCAGTTGAATACCAGTAGCTTGAATAATACTAATGTAATATATACTTTGACCGGCAAATCAGGAGAGATATCAAAGGGAGAAGAGGTAAGTAGCCCTCCAGCCTACTTCAGCAAGAATACTAACTCTCTGTTCACTCAACAAGCAGTATGAAAGGTCGTTCTGCAGCGAGACACCAGGTTGCAGACAGCTGCTGGATTATGAAAACCCACAGCTGTGGCCATGCATTACAAGGAGTTCAAGTGAAACTTGAAACCTCACCACCATCAAAGTTCCCACTAAAATCAGTGAAAACAAAAATTACTTTTAGAGATGCATCACCGCTGCGTGACACAGCAGTCTAACACAGACCGCTCTAAAAATGTTTGCTAAAATTAAGTTATCTTAAATCTGCAGCCATGACCAAAAGAGCTGGGGGGGGGCATTAAGAGAGCCTAGCTGAAGGAAGAGGGAGCATGGGGAGGGTAAAGCCCAGAGCTTAGACTGGAAACCTGTGTGTACTGCTCACACAGAGCAAACACCGACTGCACTGCAGATCCCACCTCCCCCTGAGCATCAGCATCCTTTGAATGATGCAGCAAATAATAGAATTTTTCAGCATAAATAAAATGCACATGGCAATTTATCATGAAAAATATGGAGTTCGTCACTAGCCCAGCTTATTTGATGTCAGTAAACATCAGGGTAGTCTGATCCCACAGTTTAAAAAATTTGTTCTCTACAGCTGTTATACTAGATTTTATAATCTAGAATTATTGTTCGTTGTCCATTAAATGTCTCTTAATGACTTGGGCCTACGTGAAGGCTGAAATTCAAGTACTTCTCATGTTTTGCAGTAGATCAGTGGCATCTGAGAAAAGAGATTTATTTTATTTCTTTAACGAGTACGCACTCCATTTGTAACAGGAAAATATCATTGCTGTCTGAAGCCTGTTAGTTTCCTGCAGGCTTCAGTACAGTGCAGCATCAGCAACATTTTTTTGTTTTAAATATACATGTAATATAAGGAAATGGGTTGTAGTCCCTTACCATTAAGGGAGTTGACCCTTTCGGTACAATCACATTTTAAATCGTTTCCTGGCAGGCTTTTACTACTAGCAGTCATCAGAGCTCTTCTGGGTAAACTGCTCTCCCCATAGGGTCTGTCCCTGCTTCTCTTCTGAAATTTGCTGCCCTGGAACAAAATAACATGGTCTTGATCCAAAGTCAAAGGAATTTTTTCCATTTCCTTGATAAGCATTGGAAGCAACCTTTAGCCTCCCTAGATTTAAATGGCCCAGGTGTTGGCGATGGAAAGGGATGTTAGACTTTTTCAGTAGGCATACTCACTCTGTTGTCATTCCGTAATAAAGAACTGACTATCTGTTGCCTGGCTTCTTTCAGGATAATCAATTAAGAATTAGAATCCAAGGAGGAAGGAGTAAAGGAAAACTTTTGCAGGGAAATATTATTGCTTCCAATGGGATTTTGCACATTATTGACAAAGCCATGGACAACGTGGAGCCAACATTTGAAAGCAGCAAAGAGGTGAGCTGTAAGCTATATACATGCAGTGTCAGACTCTTTTAAAATAGTTTTGCATTAATTGAATGCAAAGGAGGATGACTGACAGCAGCTAGACAAACTCTCCTGAGCCATTGTCCATCAACTCAGAGAAGCAACATTCAAAGTGAAAGGTAATGACACAGTTTCCACAGCAAACAGACATTTGCTCTTCTGCCAAGCTGCTCCGTGGAGGATTTGGTCGTACTCACTCCATTTGAGTGGTTCTTTGGGAAACTGGCAGTCATGATCAATGCCTCTCACTGAATTCCAGAAAAACATACTAAAATGGAGGGACATCTGGACAGATATCAGGCAAGACTTGTATTCAAAGCAGCAATCCGCGCCCCCAAAAGATTAATATTATAAAAACTGATAATTTTGGATGTTTTGTGGGTTTTGGCGCCCTGCTTAGGGTAACTCCTTGAGACTTCACTTCTTTGTATGGTGTTTTTGCAAATATTTTATTTCTCTGCCCTTTCTCATTAGGAATGGAGTGATAATAACGCTTTCCTCATACATACACTGTATGTTCTGTGACTACATAGTATTTCAGGACAATGACAAACTAACTATAAGCCAGTACAGCACCAGGACAAGAGTACTACCATCTCAGCCATTTCCAGACACCACCAGCCACCCAAACAATAAGGAAACCCAAATGTATTCAATCTGTAATAACCGAGAGTCATATAGTAATTCAAAAAGTGTCTTATAAGAAATGGCTTTTATCCCATGTTCCCAACTAAAATAAGTCTTACTTTCATCTTATTTCAGGAAACCATAATGTCAGTCCTTCAAGATAATAGAAGATACAGCCAATTTACATCTCTGATAGAGGTAAGAATCCAGAAAAGCAATTCCATAAAGCTATTTTCAGATGTTCTTCAATATTAATATGTAATTTCACTTTTATTTTTAAACCAAAACAGAAAACTGGCCTGGGAATGGATTTACAGCAGGACCACAGGTCTTACACAGTCTTTGTTCCAAGTAATGAGGCTTTGAGTAATATGAAAGCTGAGGCTCTGGATTACCTGCTTTCTGCAGAGGTACAGTCTTTCTATAACACAAATCTTTCTCAGATAGTAGATATATATGTAAATATATAGCAGATGCATACATACATTGTCCAGTGTTCATCTAAGCTAAGCCCCTATGATAAGGGTTAAGCCATCTCTAAAATTAAAGATCAAGATGACACCTAGAAAGGAACAGGATTTGGGGTCTCGCGTCATATAAAAGGATGACAATCCCCCTACACCAGGCCATGCAGGTTCCTTGCTCTTGCCCGGACAGCACAGCCCAGACAGCCACATGGCAAAGCCCCAAACCCTCTCCTGGGAGATGTCACCCTTGGCGGGAACAGCCAAGGGGAGCAGATCCCAGAGTAGAGTGACTGGGAGACACTGCTGGGGGGTCCCACGAGGTGGATATTGGTACCCTGTCCCCTGGCCGCCTCCTGCCTCTCCCAACACACACGCGAGCTGTGAAAGGCCCGTGTCGAAATAAAAGGTGATGTAGGGGTGAGGGCATGGAGTGACAGGGTGCACGTCACCAGCCGAGCACCACCACTGACCCAGAGGTTTCTGGTGCACCAGCCACTGACGCCGTTCTCATCGCCATGTCCTCTCAACAGGCCAGGTTGGGTTTGTGCGACTCGTTTTGGGCTAAAACAGCCTCTTTTCTGCTTTGGCAGGGTTCGTGGAAGTTGCTGGAGCTGGTCCGACACCACATTGTCTCCAATACTGAGGTGAGCACAGCTCCTTTAGTGACCCGGAGCGTAAGAGCATTTTCAAACCCTTTGCCACTCTGAAGGCAGAGGTTTTCCAAGAACAACCTCCGCTCAGTGCTGCCCAGCAAGGCTGCAAAGGACAGCTACGCCTCTGCCTTTACGAGTGGTAGCCACATAAAGGTCACTAACAGAGAGCACAAGCCTTTCACCTCAGTGTCACTAATCGAAATAAAACCCTGCTAGAAGGCATGGGGTAGTCCTTGAATCACAGCAAATTAAAACTTTGTTGTGCCACACTAGTGTGTTACATGCAAGTAACTATTTCCACTTTAAAATATACCTTTCGGTGATGGGAGCTTAGCCCAAGTCGGGGGGGGGGGGGGTTTAAAAAAAAAAAAAAAAAAAAAAAAAAATAAAATTTAAAAAAAAT